ACCTCAGCCTTCCAATTTCTCTCTTGTAGCACATCCCAGTTTGAGTGTGCCCTTGTTACTGGGACCCTCAGTAGGAGCGACATTCTGAGTGGGGTCTGATCAGCTCAGGGGGTGGAGGCAGCCACCTGCCTTCTTTTCACATATGTGCCCAGGCTTCTAAGCATCTCAGATACGCATCTTAGACTCCAAGCCAGACAGAAAGCACAGTGCTGGCTGAGATCCCTGCACTGGCGGCTGAGCCCTGGGCTCCAGGAGATTTGACAGGACAAAAAGAGAAAAAAGGATGAAAGATTTGACAGGAGATGAAGAATGGTTCAGAACAATGGGAAATGAGAAGGTTGGCCACTGGCACGACCTGAACTCTGTCCTCTTGCAGGTCTCTCCCTGCTTCCTGAGGTCTGAGGGGGGTGAGGGGGCAGTGCCCACCACTCTATAGCCCCAGGGCATAAGGCCAGATCCCAGATGACAGACGGGAGCTATGTGTTGGGTTGGGAAGAACAGTGGGAAGGTTCTGTGGGTGCACAACCCGGCGGCTTTGGCCATCATTGGCCACCAGGTGTCACTGCCACCCTGAGAACAGTCTCCCTAAACCTTTCAGAGTCCAGGGACTGGAGGTCACTTGCCCTGGCCCCTGGTCAGGACAGCCTGGCAGTTGACGGCCCAAACGCACTGAGGTCAAGTCCTCATCTGTTGGATCAGGCTTTGCCATCCATCTCCCTGCTTTCAGAGCACAGCCCAGGCCCAGCCCTCCCATATGCCTCTCAACTAGGCACTGAGTCAGCCATGACTTCGCTCTGCCCACCCCTGGTCAGGGGGTTGGCTGACCACAAGGTACGATGTGCCCTCTACTCATCACCCTTATGCTCCACTCTCCTACAAGTGCTCTTCTCGAATCAAAGCAATGAAGCTCTGACAGTGGAGCTGCAGGCAGGGAAAAGAAAGGGAAGCACGTGGCCAGCCACAGGTGTGTCCTGGTCTTGATCTGGAACATGGGCCAAGAGGCAACTCCTGGAGCTAGTACTCAAGCCAGAAGCTCTTTCAGCCTGAGCTGCCCTGGAAGCGAGAGGGGTAAGGAGCGGCACAAGCGTCAGTTTCAGCACCTAAAACTCCCCATGCAAAGTCCTGCTGTCCTGGGTAAGGTCCCTGGGCTTACACCCTTTCACTTGCACACGACCCAAGCTACTCACGGGATGCCAATGCTGACTCCAGTGTGTAGGGGCTGTTTTTAAACACTGATCACAACCGGGAACTCACTGGACAAACACGTACTGAAATGGCATCACACAGTGAAGGATAGGCGTGGCCTGCCTGGATGGGAGCATTTTATCCCTGTCATTTGCATATGACTCATCACATGGTGAGGATACAAAGCAGGCTGACTTAGTTGTGTTATTATGTTTGACTTTTCTGTGAATGACTGGATGTGCCAGGGAAGACCACTTCCAGCCTTGTGTGCTCACGATGTGATCCATAGCTGAGTGCCAGGTACTCTGCAATGCCCTAGAGATACAACAGTGACAGTCCCTACTCTTGAGAAGCTTACGCTGTAGTTTAAGAGAAAAAGAAAGTGATGAGAACAATCTTTGCAGATAACAAATGCTATGCAGAAAATTAAAGGGTAGCCGATAGCTCGGTGGTGACTTAGCACTGGATGACAGAGGAAAAATCAGCCTCATCGTCGTGAAGGAGTCAGCCATACAAACAGAAGGGGACAGCGTTTCAGAGAGAAAGCCCGGCAGATACAAAGGCTCCTCCGCATGATGGGGGCACTGTGAGCAGGAGCTGAGCTACTCATCACCCTTATGCTCCACTCTCCTACAAGTGCCCCGGGGAAACTGGGAAGAGGAGCAGGTGGGAGGGGGAATGAGTTCTGTTTTGCAGTGTTACATTTTGGATGCCTTTTACAGGAAACCCTCTACTTGGGAAAACTCATTCCTTACTAAGTTTCCTGTCTTAACTGACAGATACCTCTTCAAAGATTTAAGTTGTAATGTTTACAGAGTAAGATAATGCTTTCTATAGGGTGGAGAATGTTATTTCGTGAATGCTCTTTTACTAAACTTTTATGCTTCATATATCATTTTATTATGATCTGAATTGTATTGCTTAGGAGAGATGTTAGCAACTTCTTTTGCTTTGGTTGAATCCTTCATTTTACACGTGAAGGTGCCAAGACACAAAGTGGGAATGACCAGGTCACCTGGCAAGTAGTCAGTGACAGGGACCAGGTGACCTCAGGTCTCCTGACTCAGCAGAGCCTTCGTGCTAGTTCAGCCTCCCTGTGGGGGGCCACAGCAGTGCCACACACATCTATGAGAGGACTTCAGGAACCCTTAGGGGACCCAGAGCAGCCCAGTTTTGTTGATCTTGTTGGGGTACGGCAGGCTCTTCTCTGTCATGAATGCTCCAAGCAGCTGCCCAATTTTCTCTATATTTCTGTTTTTCTCAGGGTTAAAAGTTGTAAGGGGCCCTCCCTGGTGGCGCAGCGGGTTAAAGCGCAGCACTAAGAAGCTAAAGCCACTTCCGCATGAGTTCAATCCCCGCCTGCCCCGGAGGTGACCACATGGCGTGGCAGACCTCTCCTGACCCGCCCGCTGCTCCCCTCAGCAGTGGACTTCCTAGATCTGTCTGTTCTACTCCCCGCTCTGTCTATGGTGAAGCCTCTCACCGCCTCTGAGCCTCTGGCCTGTATCCCAGTTCTGTATGCACAAATAAATAATTTTTTTTAAAAAATAGCTTTAAAAAAAAAAGTCCTAAGGGGCTGAATTGGCACTCAGCCCCTAGAATAGGTATGGGGAGAGTCAGTATGAGGGATCATCTCCATTCCCATGGCTGAGAGAGACAGTGTGGGCTAACAGGCAAATCTAGGCCAAATATCTTCACTCTATCAGAGCCAAATCATAAACTAACCACAGACCTGATATTTTTTTTTTTAACCATGAAAATTTTCTTTATTGCCTTAAGGCTAGTATAGTATTTAAATAATGGGCCTGTTATCTCCAATAAGAAATTAAGTTCATTCTCCTAATTACCCTCCCAAATTTCTCTAGTCATCAACACACCTGGGTAGAGGCACAGATTCTTGAAGTTGGCCAGTCTCGAGTGCTGGCTTCACAATCCCACCCGCGGGGGTACTCCTAAGTTGGATACAAGAGCCAGGCTGGCCCTGCTGATCCAGAAGCTCCCTGCAGCCAGCAGCATCATGACGATGGATATGTTTGTCTCAAAACTTGTCTTAGAGCTCAAAAGGTAATCAGCTGTCATCCCACTTACTAGTGGCAAAACCGAGACACAGCGAGGGGACTTACAGCCCTGCTACTTTAGTTAGGTCATTTTCTATAGCTGTATTTCTTTTTTTTTTTTAAGATTTATTTATTTATTCGTACAGAACTGGGGTACAGGCCAGAGATGTGGAGGGTAAGAGGATTCACCAGAGACAGAGTGGGGTACAGAACAGGCAGATCTACGAAGTACATTGCTGAGGGGAGCAGCGGGCTGGTCAGGAGAGGTCTGCCACGCCATGTGGATCTCCTCCGGGGCAGGCGGGGATCGAACTCATGCGGACATGGCTTAAGCTTCTGTGCTGTGATTTAACCCGCTGTGCCACCAAGGAGGGCCTAGCTGTATTTCTTATACATTATGTTTCTGGGTGTCTTAAGCAGAATATGAAATACTGACTGAAATGTAGCTCTTCCTTTGGGTCCATTATTATAATGCTTATCAACTCTGCTACTGTGCAATGATTCCATGAGAGTCCAATGACAAGAAAATAAATGAGGGGTGAACCCAGATTGCTTGTCATTTCTTTCCCTCCCTCCCCACTCCCCTGCCCCTGGCCCTTTCTTCTTCTCCTTATTCTTTTTATTCCTTTAGAGCCCATTATGTGGCTTCTGGTTACATTATAACACAGGGTGGCACCAACCTCTGGCAAAGGGAATGATGATCCCAAAGGCCAAGCCAGAGGCTGCTTACCTAATCAGCACAACAGATAACCTTTACGGGTGCTTATTCTGTGCAATGCCACATTTGAGGTTCTTCACTCTTTCTGACTCCCATATAGATGTAGATGTTATATCTCCTGAGTCACTTGTGAGGACCTTGTCCAAAGTCATGCAGCTGGCAAATAGAGGCCCAGGATTCAAAGCCCACACTCTGAATAGCTATTCTAGTCTATCAGCGTGAAGCAAAATTTAAAAGAAAAAAGACATCTGGGAGAATCATCACATGCGAGTGATACAACTTGAGCCTCAGAAAGGGTAGCAACTTCACCTCAAAGTTACACCACTGTTTAGGAGAGTCCGGCTAGGCTCTCCCTCTGGCTCACTGTCCCAGGTATGTCCCCTTCATTACACAAAAGTTTGGGTTTGTTTTTTGAAAAATGAGGTAACTGGCTTGGGCACCTCAGGCTCACCTCCCTTTTTCTGGCCCCTCCTAGGGCCACAGAGCCTGCCTGGCACAAAACCTCACTATAGGCCCCCATTGAGCCACTGCTGGGACACTGTCACTGGGAGCTGCCCAATCAGGAGTCTACTGAATAAAGCAGCTCCTCTCCCTCAGAAAGGCAAACTTCTACTTTGCGTTTCAGCTCATCATTCTCTCCAGACAGCAGAATTCTCAGACACACCTGCTTTCTCTACAAATGAGGTGGGCCTGTCACCGACAGTGACAGCGTGAGATATGCCCTAGCCTTTCCTTAACAACCTCTCACAGCTGGAAAGTAGGAGACTCTTGAGCCCCAGGAAGCTGAGAGGCTCGGTTTTCCTGGAGACTTCAAGTTCAGAGGGTAAAGATTCAGGACTCGATTTGTGGACAGCTCTATAGCTAATAAGGTAGGAGGCTCAGGAGAGGCCCTGATGGTGGAAGATAATCAGCACTTGGGAAGGAAGGAAACAGGGTTGGATGGGGGGAGAGACGGCCCTTAGGTCCCATCCAGCCTCTGTGTATTGGGCCTCTGCTCTGTGCTAGAGCCACTGCCATCCAGTCTCTTCCCATCTGCTTACCTGTGGCTGCTGGGTGGTTAAGGGTCTCTGAGGAGACAGGACAGGTGTCCTGGACAGCAGCTGGTTCATCTTGCTGACAACTAGTTCGGTGATGAGTTGTCTGTCTTCCACCTGGTGTTCCCCAATCAGTGGCATACTGCAGTCCATGACCTGTGGGAGATGTGGCCGGGTTAGGAAAGGGTTTGGAAGTGCTAAGTCCCAGTGGAGACAGGGAGGCAATGAAGCTGGAAATCTGGTCTTCAGCAACTCACGCAGACCTTTGCCCACCCCCCAGATCAGTGCTCAATGGGGCTGAAAGATGGAAGCCTGAAAGTAGCAGGGACAATGGAGAGCAAGAAGAGGGCACAGACCCAGGCTCAGAGGCTTGCACGTAGGGGAGCAGGAACACATGACCATTATTCCTTTAACTCTCCAACAGAGGCAGGAGGTTAGCTCAGCTTTCACTCTTGCAATCTCCACCTCCAAACACTCTGCCCCTGCCTCTGCTTGTGACCTGGGAGGTCTTCCCTTCCCATCTCTCTGATCCTGATTCTTTAAGGTCCAGATCACTGTTTTTCTGCCTTAAGTGTCTGCTCTCTCGGGACCACAGGTTACTTAGCTGAAAGCTCTCATTTCTGGATGAGAACACTGAGCCGCCCCCCACCACACACACACACACACACATCCACCCAGAGAGGAGTATGGCCATCCAGAATGTTCCACACCAAATGGGCCATGGAGGCGATTTGGAAGCCCACCTTGCAGACACCAAGCCTCTGCAAATTCCACCAGCTCCCATAAGGCGCCTTCTCCCTCCCAGGAAAGCCAGACAGCAATGTGTAGGAAAGACTTGTAGTGCAGTGGCCCTTGCTTTGGCATAGGCCAAAACACAGCCAGACCCAGTAAAGTGTCTCTGGGCTCAGAGAGACACCAGGACAAGTCTCCTGCTTTGGGAGACCCGAGTTCTAGCCCAGGATGAGACCCGATTCACTCTGTGCCCTGGGCACATGCTTCAGGTGTCATTCTCCTCACCTGTAAAATAAGCAGACTGGTCGCAATGATTCCCAAGATCAGCTATTGAGAATGAGAACGGTGAGATCATGGCAGCTGCATTCAGCTAGGACCCCAGGAACACAGAGCTCTGCCCCAGGCGGGTCAGCTGCCTGTGGACTCAATGATCTGCGCTGTGTGGCCCAGGAGACTCTAACCGAAATGCAGCTTAGGCTGCCCACGGACTTCTCAGCCAAGAGCCTGCTTCTGTCTCGGGGGTGGTCTCTTCCAGGAGACTCCTTAAACCAGACTTACCTCAAAAATGTAGTCTTTCCCATCTTTGCCATGCACAGCTTTGACAGCACAGATGTCTAGGCCACCGAACATCTCTGAGCAGGTGTCTACCCACAGCTTGTACCTGGAGGGAACAGTAGGTATCCTGAGGTGGAGGCATCAGCTCCCATTTAGCCTGCTGGCAGCCGCCAGCTCTCACCCACCCCACCCAATGCACTGCTCTTTAGTGCTCACAGGCCCCTGTCCAGCCTGCCCAGACAAAAGTGGGCTCCAACTCCTCACAGTGGCCTTCCCTGGCTTTTCCAGCCATACCAACTACTCCTTTCCCGGTGCTGCCAACGTATGTCCAGTCTTTGTGGCCACACTTTGGCACTGTGGATACTGTTAATTGGCTACTTGGGCCTCTGTGCTCTAGATGTCCCATCTGCGGGCACCTATCCTCAGGCCCCCGATTTAGCGCTCCTCATCCAGGAGCTTCCCTCTCACCACGCTGGGGACGCCCCCTCCCTCTTACCGGTCTGACATGGCGATCTGCTCAAGCATGGCCGAGCCAGTGTTCGTCTTCCAGTTCCCTGAGATGGAGGTCCTCCTGCAACACGCCCCGCCGGGGACGACAGGCAGTAAGCAACACCAGCAACCGGGGGCAAGAAACTTTCCAGAAAATTAGATTACTGCTGCTTTTCTCCCACACAGAGCCCACACTATAGCCCGAGGCTATCGTCTGGGCACCTCTGCCACCCGCCCACCTGGTGTGCCCTCCCCTTCCAGCAGGGCTCCAGCTCCCACTCCCTGGAGCACCCCCTCATCTTTTCAGCCAGCTGAACACTTGCTTTCCATAGAACCCCAGTGGGACCTTGCTAAAATTCACCACCTTACACTTGCCTTTTACTTCACTTTGAGATAAGCCTCTCTCTACAAGTCTGCACATCCCTGGTGTTCCCAGCAGCTTACCAGTGACTGGGCTGCCTGGTACATACAAAGTAGACCGTGGGGGTCCTTCGGGTTCCTGTGTATCTCTCTCAAGGGTCCTCCCTCGCTTACTTTCTCATCCATCTAACCTTCCGAGGACCAACAGTCTCAGCAAGGTGACACTGCACAAGTCAGTCACCCTGTTCAGGCTTCAGTTGCCGTGCCCATCAATGGAGTCGCTGGAATCAAGTCACTACTTCTCTGCTGCGCCCCCACACCTTACACCCTGGGGCATGTGCTGGAGTCAACTCATTTCAGACTGAGGAGGAGAACGACAACCTGGTTTCTGCTTCTGGATTTGCCCTGGACTGACCAGTGGTGACCTTAGCGAATTGCCTTACCAATCTGAATCTTACTGCTATCAACACAGGGCTCTGGGCCATCATGAGGACTGACTGACTGACTGATACAGGCTTAAGTACCTGTAAAAAGCACCAAAAACATTCTTTTCTAATGATTAGCCCTCCCTCAGACCCAGTCAAGAGGAAGGGACCCAGGGGATAGGAAAGCCCAGCCCACACCCTGAGCCCATCATCTGTTGGCCTTACCACACACCAGCCAAGGTGCTGGCCTCCACCCATTGGTCCCCAGAAGAATGGTCCCCAGGGATCTGACTTGAGCACTGGAATGCCACATATAGGGTTAGCTGCCAGCCCCAAGGTAACCCGTGAGTGGTCGATGTGGAAATGACAGGCTTTCCAAGCTCCTCCCTCACCCCATGCCCCTCCCCTGAGCCTCATTTCCAACCCCCTGTAGTAAGTAGGCTGGGCTTCTTGCTCCTGCTTTCCAGAAAAGAGATAAAGACCCGGAAAGGTCAAGTGGCTGTAAATATAAAAACCCAGGACTCAGCAGTGTGAGAGCATTCCCGCACACAGTACTACAGAGTTACAAAACAGAGTCCTTGCAAAATCTGAGTAGAAACACAAAGATGGGTCATAACAGAAATAGCACTCTCTTCCTAAGGTAGGTGGTTTACAGGTGTGTCCCCAGGTGGTTTACAACCTGCCCCTCAAGGGCCAGGGTAGAAAATCACTCACACCCACCTGCCCGGCACAGAGCCAGGGCAGAACAGGGCCTCAGAAACTGGGCGAGTATTGATACGGCTCCTTTCATCAGCACTTCAAAGTTTATCGTGTTCCCTGAGACTGCACTTCTTACCTCCCTCTAACAGCAGAGGCAGGGCACAGTCCACACAGGCTACCTGGGGTGTGTGGGCCCAGGGACATCACAGGTCACTCAGTGATAGTTCCAGGGCCTTGCAGGCATCTGACCTCTGCAGAGGACCCACATTATTGTCACTGATAGTGAACGAGAAGAGAACCTTCTTTCCACCAAACATGGCCAACTGGGTCTCTGGGTAAGAGCTAGGGGAAGGGAGGAATCTCAACCCTTGTCTTGGCTGCTTCAAGTAAACTGCTCTTCCAGGAGCATGGGGAAAAATTTGGGGAAGAGGAGCTAAGACACCTAACCTTTCCCCAAATAACTGATGGAGCCCTACAGATAGGGCTGCCAGGCTTTCCTTATGCTCAATTAAATTGCTCTTGGAATTGCTAACCCTTAATAATGTGGTGTCTCCTTTCCAGGATCAAGACACTTGCTTACTATCACACATGTTTTGTTTTGTGTTGCTTTAGGGGATTCACTGCTGGAAGACAACAGATGTGCTCTCCTGAGTCCCATCAACACAGACTTTCCAGCTGCTTGTAGCCGGGGTTCCTAATGAACATGTCTTTTTATGTGACCCTGTGTCTCTCTTTGTGCGTAACTTTAGAACAGCTCTACACGCTTTTCTGAAGTAGAAAGACATTAAAGAAAAGCTGCTGGCTTTAAAAGTAGGAATCTAGCCGATAAAGTTGCGAACACCCCACGCCTAGTTCCCGACACCCCATCCTGAATGTTTAGCAGGGTCTGCTGTGTGCCCCTGCTGCACAGCATGGTTTGGCCATTCCTGCCAGAGCACTCAGCATCCAGAGGTGGAGGAAACAGCACAGTGTGTGAAGGGAGCTAAAGTGGAGAGGAGGTGTACAAGGGAGAGGTTCCCAGCTCCAAGAGTGGGCAGCATGACACTAGAACGGGCGAGAGAAGAAAAGTGGAAACAGATGGTAGGCTGCTCAGCCTCGGAATCTGCTCAAGTCCTGAGTGGCAGAAACCAAATTCACGCAGATAACTCTTTATAAAGAACAAACCAACTTACATTTGAGAAAAAGAAAGGGGCAATTAGTGAAGTCATTTGCATTCTTGTGTGGGGTAGTCTTGAAATCATTTCTTTTTCCAAATGCTAAGGGAGAAAATCTTTCACTTTCCACTCTAGCAAATGGGCACCCCGAGGTGGAGAGTCTTGTCTTGGAACCACCAGGGTTCATGCCCTATTGGAGACTGGGCTGCCAGGGCACGCCAGCACCCCAGGAGGCTCAGCCTCTGCGCGGGCTGCAGACAAGGATGAGCCACTCACATGTAAGCCTTGTAGTTGTTGCCTATCTTCTGGACCCGGATGTCGTACTTGGCGTCAATGAAAGGCTCCGCGGTGGCATAGGTCTGGGTGAGGGCCACCACACTAGCGATGTCCTGGAAGTCATAGTGGTTTTCTACCTTGACCTGGTGTTGGAGGGGGTATAGAAGGAGAAAAGGGGGTACACACACGCTGAGGGTCATGAAAGGCCAGAGTCTCCCAACCCAGCAGAATGCTTCCTCGCCAGATGCAGCCTGGATGCCCTCTCCCCAGGAAGCCCCTTCCTTCCTGCACCCCAAGACTATGGGGCCACCCACCACAAAGGGCTTAAGGCGGCCTGCCCTCTGCGTGTTGAAAGAGGTCTGTCTAGGGAATATTTGTGGCTTCACAGAGGCCAAGTCAGCGTCTCCTGGGAAAGAACCATAAGTTACAGAGGCAGAAGAGCAGTCCATGACCAGGCTCTCTGCAAAGGGTCATCTTGGCCTTAACCGCCAAGCAGTGCAGGTCCGGATCCTACCTTGCCCATGCCAGAGTGAGCGTGGCCAATCTTCACCACCACCGGGAATGTGGGCAGTGTTAGCTGAAAGCAGAGGGAAAGGCATGAATTGGTCAGACCGCCTGTTTCTCTGTAATCCTACAAATATTTTCCTTGGGAACACCCTTGGCAGGACACAAGGTGTGTGATGGCGGACTGGCTCCCTCATTTTGTCCAGAGAGGGAACCACAGTGACAAGAGCAGGATCTCGCCACCAAGGGGCCTCTTGAGCAATTGATCCCATGAGCGGCTATGCTCAGCTCAACTTGCACCATGCGTCAGAGCCAGGCAGAGCTCTGGGCACAAACTGACAATGGACCTGCCGAGCTGTGCTGCACCCCTGTGAATCAGCAGCTGGTCCTGGGTCTCCCTTATGTGGAGAAGTTTCTTAGTGTCTGTAACAAGTGGTCTTAGGTTAATAACATTCTATAGAACGCCCAGATCATATAGAGTTGCAAGGAAAAAAAGCCCCCAGGAGGGAGATGTTGGAGTTGGGGGTTTAACCCCCTAGTCCCCAAACAAGTACCAGATCAGAAGATGGGCCCCAGCCTCAGAACAGCACATGTAATGGCCCCCAGTTCCCTGTTTCAACAGACCCCAGGATTCCTAGTGTACACTGAGTCATCAATCAGGCAGCCCTATGGCTTGTGTCTGTCATTTAAGTCTTATACATTTATATAGGGACCCAAAGAAACCTGTGCATAGCAGCTGGGGACGCCAAGGGACTTTCTGTGGTTCCTGCTCCCTTCCAGAATGAACTGAGACCTATGCATAGGAATTTATCAAAGGCAACCGGTGAAAGCACAGTGCTACGAAGCTGTGGTAGCCACAGCAGTATAAATTCCATCCCCTGCCAGGGAGTGACTCACATGGCGTGCCAGACCCCTCCTGACCTGTCCACTGCTCCCCTCAGCAGTGTATTTCAATCTGCGTGTTCTGCTCCCCACTCTGTCTCTGGTGAATCCTCTCACCCCCTGCATCACTGGCCTGTACCTCAGTTCTATATGTATAAATAAATAAATCTTTTTTAAAAAATTAAGATAAAAAAGCTTAATTTTTTTTCAAAGAATTTATCAAAAGGACGCACCTTTGCCCACCTCCTCTATCTTCCTCGGGTCTAGCTCCGCAGGGAGGGGCTTCCTTGGCTAGGAGAATGGGGGTGGGGGTGCTGGCAGCTTGTCCTCTCCCCAGGGCTTCCTACTCTACTGGGTTTACACTGAGGATTTGGACAGGAAGTCAAGGTGACCGACCCCTGTCCACACTCTGTGGTTGACTGCACAGGCTTGAATACAGTAGCAGTGTGGCTGCAAACATTTAACTCAGTAAATGCTGAAACAGTCGTTGACTCTGATTTTTTTTTTTTAAGGGCAGGGCCCCAGCCCACCTGTAACTGTGTAAGCGTTTCTACTGGCAAACCCTCCCTCTTTGCAAAACAGCAGAGAGTTCCTGCCCACCTGTGGCTATGCAGGTGCCTCTTTTTTCTTTCTCCTTTGCTTAATAAAACTGTCCTTTTAAAATGTAAATAATAATAGTAGTTAATTAATTAAAAGAACTCGTCCAAGCTACCTGACTTAGAAACTTAAAACAACCGAGGTCATGGTGAGGAGCCCAAGACCACTACCCCTCAGCAGCAGCGGCAGAGACGAGCAACCCTGCCCTTCCCCTCCGCCCCTCCCCTTGGTGCTTTAAGTCACTGCTTCAACTCTGCGTGGGGCAAACCCCGAGCAGACCTGGCCTCAGCCAGAGAACACACACACCTTTGGGTGGGTGGGTGATACTGCATGTAAACCCAGACAATTTGAATTTTAATAAATACAACTTTGGAATCTGAATGTCCCTTTCCTCATGTCCCTCTTTGTCATTTCCCTCCCCATGCAAAGCCCAGTTTTTCTTGTTCTGAACCTTGCTTTTTTCTCCCTCTTTCATTCTTTCATTTCTCACCAACACCCCAAATTCACACCAAACAGTTTAGTATGCCAAGGCCTGTTTCTGTGCAGCGTGGGTGTTTGGTGAGCGCAAATATAAAAACTCAGTATTCATCACTCACAGCAGATCCTGAAGAGACTGAACTCTACCTCGAGGTAGCCATATTTTAGCAGAAGAGCCACAAAACTTCAAAGAACTGCCCTCCGAGGCAGGACTTTCAAAACGATGCTTTAGAAACCCTGGATGGAGGGAAGGAGCGCTGACTAGCGTCAGGATGGGCTTTCCGGTGGGCTCCTCCACGCACCTCCACCTGGCTGCTCAGCGCAGCTGTCAAATGAAGAGCCCTCCCCCAACGCCAATGCTGGTGGTTCTGGTGATTCTGGGCGGTGGTGAGCCAGCCTGGATGGCAAATCGCATCCCACCCAGGCTGGCTCAGCATTTCCCATTTCTGTCTTTTCAAACATCACGAGCACACCAATACGAAAGGATGCTTTGGAAGGAAATAATGTTGACTCTCATGAAAAGCCCCCATGGAACTGAAGCACAACCAGATACAAGGGAGTGTTTGACCTGTGAATTTCTGGCTTTCTGGCAGAGGCTAGTTGAGCCTGGGGCCAAGAACTCAAGCTTGGAAGTCCTGTAATTCAATTCCACTTTATGGAGAAGAAAGTGAGGCCCAGAGAGGCAAAAGCTCAGAGCTACCAGGCTGGCACCAGAGCCCAGCCTCCACCTGGTGTGGACACTCCCACAGTCCCTTTCTAGCTGGGGCCGGCGAGCCCATGCTTGGTCAGAGCGGACAAGGCTCTGCTTGCAGCTGCACTAAATGCCTGCTCTGTTCTCTATGCTGCCTCGCCATATATAGCAAGACATAACTTCTCAGTGAACAGAGTAGCAGGATCCAGGCCTCACTGTGGCTGAAGGTGAGGCAGGCAGAGAGGTGATGTCCAGTGCAGTAAGCCCCAGCAGCACTGTCCTCGCCATCTGCAGGCCGGGCCCTGGGTATGGGAAAGCGTTTCTAAAGCACTGGCTGCTTTCTCAGACATCCCTCCCCACCCCCCAGCCAAACTGAGCCAAGACACACACACACCCCAACTTTCTCTATCCTGTTCCACTACTGTTTGCTGTTGCTTTGGAGCCTCATAAATAGGGCATTGAAAACACTTCCTGCAGCTGAAAGAAGCCCTGAGTAGCTTGTCTCATTCCCAGTGTGCGGCTCAGCAAGGGGTCCGTCCTTCTCTGTCACTGTCTCTTTTGCCTGTTGTAATTCCGTCTGCCTCTCTCTGACTCGCCTGTCTCGCTCTTTCTGTGTGTGCCTCTCCTCGCTCTTGTTCCTTCTGTCTGATTCAGGGCCCCTCGTCCTCGGCCTTGTGCCTTTGTTGCACTTTCTGTCCCTCTGCCCTGACACCGTAAACTCTCCCGGTGCCTTCCCTCTACTTCCAGGTCTAATTGCTCAACAGGGAAAGGGAGGCAGGGGTCCCTTTCCTGGCTTCCCTCCTCATCTTACTGTGCCTGCCGGTCAGGAGGATTGTCGTCCTGCAGCCCCGGGGCCCCAGCCAAAGGAGGGCGGAGCCCACGGGGAGGGATTGGCCCCAAGTCTAACTCATAAAGCTCGGGGCTAGGGGCACTCGCCGTGCTGAAGGGGCCCTGGAGGGGCTGTTTAGTCCAGCACCCCAGAGGCTCATTGGGGCTGGGCTGAGCAGTGTCATGCCCGGGAGCCCACGGACCGCTCCGAGCTGGGTGCTACTGCTGCGGCTGCTGGCTCTGCTGCGGCCGCCGGGGCCTGCCGAGGCGTGCAGCTGCGCTCCCGCCCACCCCCAGCAGCACGTCTGCCACTCAGCGCTTGGTGAGTCCCCAACGCCCACCCCAGCAGGTCCACCGCAGGGGGCAGTTGTGTGGGAGGGGTATGGGGAAGAGCTGCAGACCTGGAGTCCAGGGAGAGGGAGGAGCTCCAATGCCCCAGGAGCTGCAGAGCCGCTGCAGAGTCGTGGCACCCGGTCAGCAGAGCTGGCGCCATAGCAACCTCATAAGCCAGAGCCTGGCTCATGTGTAAGGAAAGAACCTTTCACACACACCCCCAGAGGCTAGGGAACTAGGGGCGGGGGAGGGGGAGTCAGGCTGCGGAGCTGGGTTTGTACCCCTTTGTCGCCAACCTGCGACTGAGATGACCCCACACCCCCACCCCACACACCTCTTGCCTTTGTGGAGGAGGATGCCCTTCCTCCACAGTTTCAATTTCTGGCAAACTCCCACTGACCCGTCAGTCTCACTCAGGCTTCCTGACCCCAGGGGCTCCCACAGCGTACAGTGTCTCTAATCTCTGTGCCCCTACTAAGCTGTGCTGTTCTGTGTGTTCTCCACTAAAGCAAGGGTCCTGCAGGATGGGCACCCTGACCTAGTCAGCTTTCAGGAGCTGGTCCCCAGTACTGGGCCACGCACAGAGGGAGAGAGAGCTTGGTAAACAACTTCTGATGAATGCCCAAAAGGCAGGAGATGAGCGCCCTCAGAACGGGCATTAATTCAATAAATGTTTATTCGTGTCCACTCTGGGTGGTTCTCTTTGAGCCCTGGGGCACACCCCCTGCCCTCCAGGGGCTCCTCCCTCCTCTCCCCTGCTACCCCCTCTACCCAGCTATATTCTGGATGCTGGGAAAGTGAAAGCTCTCGGGGTGGCAGGTAAACAGCAGAGACTGCAGGGCCCCCCAGACCAGAGGCAGGTGGCACTGCAGCTGTGTCTCCAGATCCCACTCTCACAACATGGCCCTATCTCCCCCACCAACACCTCCAAACCCAGAATTCCCCCACAGAATTCGCCGGGGCACCAGGTCATGCAGAGCTGGGCCGCTCCCACAGCTTGCTGAAGGCTCCCTCATTTTTCTCTTGGTGTGCAGTGATCCGGGCCAAAATCTCCAATGAGAAGGTCGTTCCTGCCAGTGCAGACCCTGCTGACACTCAAAAAATGATCCGGTATGAAATCAAACAGATAAAGGTACATGGGGCAGGACAGGGTGTTTCCCCTTGGGCCGGAAGGAGCAGGGTCTGTCCTGGCAGAGGGGGGCTGGTGGGGCCCACAGGTTGGCGGGGTGCTCCTGGGGGACAGGTGCTGGAGTGGGAGTGGGCCCTACAGTAACTGAGTGACAGTGTGGGGTGTCCAGCTGCCTGGAACGGGGCTACCACAGGCACCTCCCTTCTCGGGGATACACCAGACTGAGCATTTTAAAAGAAAGAAAAGACCCAGCTGGGCCATCTGTACGCACCAGACCCTGAGCTAGACTTCTGTTGAACTTTTTAGATTGAGAAGTACGAAGTTTCCCTGACCAGACAGCAGATTTTGTAATGTCTTACAGATGTTTAAAGGGTTTGAAAAAGTCAAGGATGTTCAGTATGTCTACACGCCTTCTGATTCCTCCCTCTGTGGTGTGAAACTGGAAGTCAACAGCCAGAAGCAGTATCTCTTGACTGGTAAGTTCAAGACAGGCGAGGAGCCCTAACAGGCTCTCCCAAGGTGGGGGCCCGGGGCCCTTCCGGGGGCAGCAGGCCAAGCAGGGTGGCATTTTCTTTCTTTTTAAAGATTTATTTATTTGTACATACAGAACTGGGGTACAGGCCAGAGGTCGGGGTGGTGAGAGGATTCACTAGAGACAGAGTGGGGAGCAGAACAGGCAGATCAACAAAGTGCACTGCTGAGGGGAGCAGCAGGTGAGTCACGAGAGGTCTGCTGTGTCGTGTGGGTCACCTCCCTGGCCGGGGATCGAACTTGTGCTACAGCAGCTGTGGACAGCTTCACAGTGCTGAGCTTTAACAGGCTGTGCTTTAACAGGGAAGGCCCAAGAGTGGTATTTTCTTAGGCATAAAGTACAGGCAGCCTCTGGCTTGCAAAGCAATGGGCGCTGGTAATGGTGACCTTGGTTGTTCCTTCCTACTTCAAGACTGGGGTGGTTCTCCCAGCTCAGATTAGCTGGTCCCATTTTCAGACCATTTTTAATTGGTGTCTTAAGTCAGAATCTGCCCCTCTGCATGCCCCCTGTGGGCTGGGCTGTGCCCTCTGCTCTCTGCCACTGACCTGACTGCCTGAGGTCTGCACTCTATTCTAGGCCTACTGGCTGTGGTTCTCAGACCTCTCCTACCTTGACCACTCTCTCAAATGGGCCCCAGGCAGCCCTCATTCCTTCTCTAGCACAGCAGCCTGCACTGAACAAACACTACAGGTGAGGTCTTCCCTGTCCATGGGGCCACACTGTTGGTCATTGGGATCCTAAGTGCTTCACTTGCACCCCTGGCTCTATTCTGGGGATACAGTAAACCACAGGCCCTAACAGGAGACTTGAGCTACTGTTTCTGTCTCCAAAAACCTGGGCCCAGGCAGGTACCCTACCCTACCACCACACACACACACAGTGAACTGGTTGGAAAGACAGTTAAAGAGCCACAGAAGAAGGCGATTATGGTTGAATACAATACCAAGTTACTCTGTTGTCCAGGACAGAAGGTTTCCACGGGGCAGTGAACAATGAGGGTGCCTCAGTGGGGAGGATCTGTCTGCCCACCCACCCAACAGTGGCACCACCACCTCCTCACTGCTGCCTTGGGTGGAGACATCAACACAAGTCACGGTGCTTAGGGGACAGCAGGCCAGATATAGCTCTTGAGAAGACCTTGGCTTGGGAGATTGTCTGGGGAGCCTCCCCAGTGCTAAGCAAGTGGGGAGGCTGCGGAAGGCAGAGCAGATGCAGAGCACACACTGAGCGCCTCCAGTGCCCAGGATGGGAGGAGGGTCAAGTCTAACCAAGGTAGGAAAAATGACAAAGGCAAATCTGCTGATCAGCATCAGCTGGAAGGCGCTCGTGTTGGAAGTGGCCAGCACTGAAAGCCCCTGGACCAGAGGCCTGGCTCTCCAGCTTGGTCTCCTGTACCTATCGGTGACAGACCCAGACCTGAGCTCACTAGGCCAGCCTCAGGTAGTGTCCTACTGACCCAACCCTCTGCCTTCTCCCCAGAAACCCTCCCCCATTTGCCTGGCAGAGGACTCCCACCCACTTGGGAAGGCCCAACTCAGCCTCCTCTTCAGAGGCACATTCCCTCCCCGCCCCTTCCCTGCAGTAACTGTTTCTTTTCATTCACCTGTGCCTGGTGCATCACCACACAAGCCTTGGTTTGCCTACTCTGCCCTAACAGCTTTGCAGCCCTGGGGGCAGTGTTCCTGGCATACTGATTTCTGTATTCCTGGAGCAGGTCACAGGAGTTGCTCAGGGAGTAAGTGGCTGAGAAGTGTGGGCTTGAGTGTTGAGGGGTGGGTGGCTTGGAGAGGGCCTTCTGCTGAAAAGGGTCTTTGGAAACCAGGAAAGAGTTCACAGGCCAAGAAGGGGAATTTTCCTGTGGGGAAGGAGAGAGGCTGCCAAGGTGGTTTGGTATCCGTGGTGGGAGATTGGCGGACTGGAAGGGGGACGGGCCCATTTGTAACCAAACATCTTCTCTGGACCCCTAATTGTGCCTGGAACTTTATATTGTCATTGAACCTCTCAACCGCCTTAATCCTCCCACCTTCCAGCTACGCATTTCCCTGGCTTTCTCGGTTTACATATCTGATAAAGGGTAGAAAAGCAGGGGGTTCCACCAGAGGCCAACTCCAAAGCCATGTCCTCCTCCCTCCACCACGCCCAAGGAAAATGCCTTCCTGCCGTAACTCTGTCTGTACAAACATCATCTCTGAATCCATGAAATGAGAACTTATGAAAATTAGGCAGGTTTGTCTGTTCCCTTCGTGGGACCCCTGTCAGCACTGACACACAAAAAGGCACTCTCCAGAGGCTGAAATTCTGGGCTCCTCAAGGCCCTGTGCCCCTGAGGCTCATGTGCCAATTCCTGAGGCTGTTTTCCCTCCATGCCCCCCAAAGGTCAGATCCTTGGTGATGGAAAAGTCTTCATTCATCTGTGCAACTACATTGAGCCCTGGGAGAATCTGTCCTTCTTGCAGAGAGAAAGCCTGAATCACCACTACCATCTGAACTGCGGCTGCCAAGTAAGAAATGTCCATTTCAACGTCTTTCGGGGCTGGGGCTGGGGCTGGGAGCCCTGCTGCCTCTCCCTTTCTGTAATCCTCTCTTCCTCACGCACTTATTCATTTACTATGTCTGACACGCGAGGGCTGCCCAGGGTCAAGCTTTATATGGGATAGATAGATGGCCCATAGTCCCTGCACCATAGATGCCGAGGATCTCAAAGTGTCCATTCTGGCTGGGAAGACAGACGGTATAAAGTGGACTAAGGCAGCACAGCTACCATTTAAAGAGAGTCTACTTCGTGCCCAGCCCGGTAATGGCCAGGGCCAATGTCTATTTTAAATATCTAATTTAGTCTTTGTAACAAAGACTAAATTAAGCTTCCCATTTTAAGGTGAAGAAATCAGTGCCCTAGGAGGGGAAGGGGCCAGCTCAAGGTCAGTGGTAAGACCCACCTCAGAATGTCTGACTTCAGAGCTGCTTCAGAGAGGCCTCACCCGGGACAGGAACGTAGGGGAGTCTGGAGATCAGGAAAGCTTCCCCAGGCATAGCCCATGAGCTGGGCTGCAAGGGTGGGAAAGGGGGGGAGCGGCCAGCCTGCTGACCTGGACATTGTGTGGCTGTGACCCCAGATCACCACCTGCTACACAGTGCCCTGCACCATCTCAGCCCCCAACGAGTGCCTGTGGACAGACTGGCTGCTGGAACGGAAGCTCTATGGATACCAGGCCCAGTATTACGTCTGCATGAAGCATGTAGATGGCGTCTGCAGCTGGTACCGGGACCATCTGCCCTTCAGGAAGGGGTTTGTTGACCTCATCCAGCCCTAGTCAAGGCAGACCACCACCTGCCTTCAGGAGTCCTGCAGCCAAGCCAGGTCTCCAAGCCTGCAGAGCTCTGGCCGCTGCCACCAGTCTCATCAGGGCCAGCCAGGGGAAGCACAAAGTGGCTGGCCTGCCAGCACTAGGGCCAGAATGGGCATGCTCCCCCAAACCCTGATCAGTGCTGGGAGGTAACCTAGCTCTGCAACCTGCCCTCAGTCCTTCTCCCCTGCCTCCCAAACCCTTCAGTCTAGCTAGTACTTGTTATTGAATGTTTTGATTCTGACTTATTTTGTTTCTCAAAGCTTGAACCATCCCTTTTTCTTCGCACGAAAATGAGTTTTCTCTTACCTTAACTGGCCTGCTAGGGAGGTATGGGGCAAACTGCACCTAGGCAAGGGTGTGGCCCTGGCATGTGCACCCAGAGGTGCATCATAAGCACAAATCAGTATCACAAACAGGCTGGCAGGGAGGGAGGAAAGAATACCCACTGAGGCAGTGTGTCCTCCTCTCCTGTCTCAGCTCATCCTCTTATTCACTTTCTCTCGGAGGGTGTGCGCTGTGGGGCACAGGATCAGAGTGGGGACCTGCCTGGGCCCACACCCACTCTATACCCTGGGCTCCCAGCAGAGGCTCTGGGCCAGTGAGCACACCTCTCTAGACAAGACTTAGATATTCTCTCTCCAAGTTAACAACTGATGTCCACAGGCTTCTCTTCTATTTTTTCTAGAAAGAAAGATCCTTCTCTGCTAGGCTACTAATATCTTCATTCCTACTTCAGAGTTGTTTTTTGTTTGTTTGTTTGTTTAACCAAAAAGGTCTGTCCTTATAAAGTTGAAATCCTACCTTGGGAGAGATTCAGACACCACAGAGAGATCTAATGAGGTCCCTTTCATGGGCAAATTTCAGGATAGAGGAGAAAGAACACAAGGGCCCCAGGGGACAGGGATGGTAGATGAGGAATACAACTTGCCCAGGCTTCAGTTTTCTTGGGGGGCATGGGGGGAGAGGGCTGGGGCAGCCCTGCTAGATGCTGTAACAGGAATAGCCAGTGGTGAGCCCCCAGAGAGCTCCTCCACCCTTCAGCTCAGTCCCTCACCACTGGGTCCTGGACTCTGAGAACTCAGAGCACAGATGTTGGGGTCTCTCAGGCTCTGCAAGATTTCCCAGTTTGGCCTGAGGGGGAAGCTCTAGGGTCGGTCTCAAGAGTTTGCCAAGGACAAAGACTTAACCTTTAAAAGCTTCTCGGGGGCAAGCACAAGGCTGCTGTTCATCCTCTCCATGTGCTGAGCTGCCAAGCAGAGCCCCACACCACATGCCAGAAGAAGGCTGCTGATTCACAGAAATGGCGTACATGGCGATTCCTTTGGGGGAAAGGAGTGGGAGGGGGCACAAGCATGATTTCTGTCCTAGACACAACACTTAGAGTGCCAGGGTTGGTTAAGTGGGACCATCAACAGGCCGACATAGGCCTGGGCCAGAGGGTGTGGGCTGTGGGTTGTGAGGGTTGAGTTCCAGGTTGCTATGGAAGAAAAACAGCAGCAGCAGCCTCTGTACCACCCACCCGTCCCACCTCTGCCCCTGCTGACATCTAGCTTGACCTCGGAGAAGGCATGGGGTCATCCTGACCTTACTGCTCTCTTGAGGGAGCCGAGGAAATGCAAGGCTTGGTGAATAATCACAGCAACAACACCCCTACGGTGCTTCCAATTTTCCAGAAGGCTCTTACTTGAAAACTCTCGTTCAAATTTTGTAGGTGTCCTGTTAGATGTCCTGCTTGGGAATACGATGCAATGACGTGTGACAGGACTGAGGCCAGACCCCAAAGCCGTGGGATTTTCTGAACCTCGATCCAGAAAATCTCAGCCTGGTAACTCTGCTCTCCATTTCTGTCCCCACTTTGGGGATAACAGGCTGTCAACTAAAACCCAGTCACTCTGGTCCTGCAAAGCAGGGAGTGTTTGACTTCAACAGTATCTGGGGCTGAGGGTACGTTTTCAGAGCCCCATTTTTTGTGAAATTCGTGGTGAGAAACTGAAAGTCCACACTCAATCACCTACCATCTCTCTGTGGTTGGGATAGTACGTCTGCTCAATGAGTGGGAACTTTTCTCCTCCCAGAGTCTTGTAGATGGCCACCAGCTGTGCAAACTGCAAAGGAAAAGCAAATGTTTCAGCTCATCTTGCAAGCTTCTGGAACAGGCAGACAAAATATCAATCGAGCACTCAGATAGTTACTGACTACTTGATCTGTTGTGCGCCCTGTACAAAGTATTCTGAGGATGCAAAAGGTATGTGCAATCCCTAGTCTCAGAACATTTGTTTCAGCTAGGGAAGCAGGAGAGAGCAAGTTTGCATTCACACAATAGCGTCTCAATTTTAAATATTTCATTCAACCCTTACATCAAATTGATAAAGTAGGTACTTGATTATCTTCACTTCATTAGTCCCAGAGGGGGTAGGAAACTTGCCTAAAATTACCCAGCTACTGGGATTGAAATGGGGGTCTCTAAACCCTAAACACCTATACCTGCAAGTGATATTGCTAGGTGTTGAAGTGAGGAAGATTGGGCCAAGTCTTGGAAGTTCCCAAGCCAGGCAGTCAGCCTTACCCCATAGGTGTCTCTGAGGTCATCAGGGTGTTGGGGATGAAAGATCTTTGGCAAATATCTACCAGCTCAGTGCACCCCACTCTCATATTTTGTAAGTAAAGACACGGAGGTCCATAGAGGTCAGTCACCCAAGGTCACACAGTTGAGTGACCCCTTTGTTTCTGCTGCCTCACACAGCCTCCTTGCAGGCTGCACCAAGGCTACTATCTGCCCACAGGAGACACACAGGACTTCACTGCTCAGTCCAACTCATACACACCCCTCCCTGTGCTAGAAGCAGGGTGATCCAGCCTCTTCTCTCTAGTGCTACTTGGCTTCAGTCACACTCTACGTCACCAGTATCTGAAACTGCTGGAAGAACAGTTGCCAGGTCAAACCTGCCTTCTACTTGTCAAGAAAGGAAAGTTAGAACCATTTTTCAAAACTTCAAGTCCTATTCCCCCATCGGGGTGCTGGCACATGAGCCAAGACATGAGAAGGAAGTTAATAAAAGCTCAACAGTGGGGTCTTCGGATTCTCCTTCTCCCTCTAACTTGATTGGTTCCTCAGGCCATGGTATCTCCTCTCTTGGTCTCATTTTGCAAACATATAACACGCCCTGTTGTGCCCATGGCCCACCATATATAAGATGAAGGGATTGAATTTGATCAATTCTTCAAACTTTTTTACCACAAAGAACATCCTGTGTGGTACCTCCTCCTTACTCCATTATCAGGCTAGAGTGTGAGTCATCATCTTTGGTGTAAAGAGAGAATCTTGCTCTTGCTTTTTAAAATTCTGGGGAACATTGTAATTTCTGGTTCACTCTGTTAGTGACACAGACTTGGTGTCTGTAGATCCCCCGGGCCACTGCCAGGACTAGAAGTGTCACTCATAGGTTCTAAAGCTCTGATGATTCTATTACTGAAAGAGATGCTTAGCGAGTTCCCAGACTGGCCACCTCAGTTTGCAGGTGAGGAGATGGGGCTGGAGAAGAGCAGCGGCGGAGGCTCACAGAAGCCTGGGGGCAGGGATGTGCCAGGTCTCCCCTGCCTGTGTGTCTCTACTGCAGTGCTGGCTCTCTTCAGCTTGCCTTGATTCTTGAGACCAACCCCTCACAACTCTTCTGCATTCCCTGGTTCTCTCATCCCCTGACCTGACATTTAAGTCCCACCTGCCCACCTGGCCAGACTCCTGTCCTGCCTCTGTATACCTGCTTGCGCTCCCAAGGCTTTCCAGGCAGCGGATGCCAACTCTGCTTCACAACCTCTGTCCTGCTGCAGCCCACGCTCTGGCGTGGCACCAAGGCATGTGAGGCTCTATGTTCCCAGCAGGTGGGAGAGTTACACAGACACCACTCAGATGCCAGGAAGGCCCACGGCCGACTCCTCAGGCCCTGGGACAGCCAAGACGAAAATGGCAGCCAGTTCCCAGGCACTAGTTGAGTTCCCTGGAGCCTAGCCCATCCTCCCACGCCCTATCTCCAACAGTCCCTGTCTGCTCAAGGTCCTGGGCTTGGCATCTAACCCCTGCCTCCTTGGAAATTTAGATTGTCACAAGCACACGGTTACCAAATAAACAAATGTAACCTCTAATAAGGGCTATTTCCTCTGTGCATAGACAAAAGAATGGTTCTGGGAGCTGGGGTTGGCATTTGGCAATGACTAGAAAGATAACGTTTACTATAATCACTTATCCAGTGAATCAGAAAGACTTCTTGGAGGATGGGATTTCTAGATCCATTTGAATTTAATATGTTATCTTTTTTCTGGAAATAAAACGCTTTTGTTCAACACTAGCAATTATGGCTAAAAACAAAAGAAACAACCTAGAAAGGGTGATAGAAATTCAGACAAATTTGCAGCAATAAAAGAACAAGAGGTAGCGTCGCTTTTCCTGGCATTCCACTCTCACTGGGCCACTTCTGTTTCCAAAGTCCCACGGTGCCTGGCTGACCAACGAGACAGCAGATGTGCTGTCCAGAGCAGCAGGCAGAGTCTTCCCGCTCCGCAGAGGCCTCCCCTCACACCCAAAGCAGCCTTGCTTGGCACAGTTTAGAAAACATGACCAGAGTGGTCACATCAGAGCTACCCTGACCACAGAGTCACCAAACTTGCCTACTCCCATGACAGGCAGAGAACAAAACATAAAATGCCCCGGTGTGGCAGATGCTTAGTGAAAATGAACGGAGAACTTGGTGGTGTCTGGCCAGGAAGCCCTGCTGTCCTCACGCAACGTCAGCTGCGATGGCTGGGATTTGAATGGGCGAGAGTGTGAACCCTCTCCAGATCCCAGATCCTGGATCCCAGCAGCAGTGAAGCCCGAGGCACAGGCTCTCTTTCTGGCCCTCCCCTCTCTGGCCTCTGGTACAGTTTTGGAACTTTAAGCAGTGGGCTAGTTGTTTAATGAGATCCCAAATACTCAGGGACTTTGTAACAAACAGGCTGGCAATGTGGAAGCAGGTGCTATTGCTATCCGCAGTCTGCAGACCAAGAAATAGGAAATATAGTGAGGGGGCTGATTAATGAAACACCCAGAAAAGGCTGCCACTAGCAGACTCACCCTGGTGACCAGGAGGGGACCAGATCCTAAAAGGTATGGACTGGGAGAACTAGGGCACATTAGCGCTGGGGAAGGTCTTGTGACTAAGGAGGAGGAGAAGGGGTGGGGGAGTCTGCAAAGCAGCCTAGTAGAGGCCTCGTAGGTGCTTTGTGATTCACAGCACACGCCAATCCACATTTTCAGCCTGTTTCTGCAAACCTCTAGGATTCTAGATGGGAGAAGTCTGGAGAAGGGGAGTTGGGGACTCAGCACCCCTCCTCAGCGACTGCAGCACCCGGCTCCTAGACTCCTTGCTCTTGGTCTTTCCCTTATGCTGTACCATCCCCCTTGTTTCCAAGAGAACAGAAAAACCTTCCTTTCAGAAGTGAGGGAAAAAAGATCCTGAGATGATATGTCCATTTGGTTGAAAACAATAACAAAGCTCCCCTCCAGCCGTCGGATTAGGGAGAGGCTGGGGGAACTTCACACCCAACCCCAGAGCCTCGACAGTGGGCCATCCAGAGAGAGATGACTGAAGTTCCATTTCTGAACAAGAAGGAGAGGATGTGATTGGGGGCAGGTGCTGCCTTCCGAGGGGCCAGCTTGGAGTAGCAGCACTGAGAGAGTGGGTGCCCTCCACCCTAGGGGGTGCTAGATGCCCTGGTGCATCGGAGGTCAGGGCTGCTCCTGGCCAAGGGAGAGAGCACCAGACCAGCTCCCTCATGTTGTGCCCCACTTACATGAGAGGTGACCTAGAGAGATCTGCCCTGTAACTCTGGCAAGTTACTTACCTCCTTCTGGGTCTCATTTCTCTGTAAAAAGTGATAATAATAGTATCTTTCTTGTAAGGTGACTGGGAGGATTAAATGAAGCCAATGTAGAGATTCTCAGTGCCAGCATGATGCTGTGTGGGGTGTGATTTGCTGCTCTCCATTCATTTTCACACCTCCATCATGAAGGGGTGAGTGCCGATAACTTCCAGGGCACTTCCCCTGATGACTGCCTGGCTTGCATGTCTGTGGGCAGACTGCTGAGACACTGGTAGAAGTCTGTCACCCACGAAGAGATGCCAGTAGTTAGGCCACTCAGTGACAAAAAGTATTTGAATTGTGGCATATATGGCTAAGAGCAGAGCCTTCCGACCTGCAAGGTTTTCTCCTCAGAGTTTCTGTGTGTCTTGGCCTCGAGGCCCAAGTCTGCTCTGCAGCCATGGTGGCCAGGCCAGGATATGTGATAACAGTGTATTTTGAGAGTCTCCACCCCTACCCCAGGGCTTGCCGGAGGTACCTCCTGAGCATCTAGAGCACCCTCATCCTTCCTAGGGGGGCAGGGAGCACAGACCTCCATCACTTACCACCCAGGGCTTGTCGCAGAAGTTGTAAATGGACTCCAGGGAGTTGATGCTGGGGAGGCCAGCATACTGCATGCCAATGATGAGGTGGCGGAAGTCCTCGTTCTCCGCCATGCCGAACGCATGCTGCCGGATGAGCACAAAGTCAGGCCGGAAAGACCTGGCGAGAACACAGAGGCCAGTCTGACGTCAGGCAGTACCTCCAGTCATAGACCTCTTGTCTCCCATCTCCAAAGTCCCAGGTAGAGAAGTGGTCTCTGTGACCACTGGCCCAAGCTCCTCGATTCATTATTACAAGGCACATCTCACGGGAGACTCAAGGAATAGGTTCCTGCAATTCCCTTGTTGCTCTGGGGTAAGCAGTGCCTTTTCCTAGGTACAAATGCCCGGGGAGGTGGCATGGGAGGGAGGCCAAACACTTTTAGATCATTGCATCTCAAGTGAACAAGCATTTTCCCTGATCCCACGGGGAGGGTGAGAGCTGAAGCTTCCGGTGGCTCCAGCTGGTATGCCCAGCAGCCTATGAAGACAGTATACCTGGCTGACTTCACCGCCCTGCCACAGAGACCCCTGTCCCTACTCCCTAAAGCAGCTGCTTACAGCAGGCCGTGGCTTCATGAGGGCCCAAAAGAGCAAGGGTCCAGGCTGATGGAGCCCAGGCGCCAACCTCCCGGTGCGATCCTTCCCAACCAGACGTGAGGGCGGGGTGCGTGTATTTTTCGAATAACTGAGGTTGAGCAATGGCTACAGGAAGCCCTGGGAGTACAGAATGTTCCCGTGCAAGGGATGGCTCCCTGTGTTTCACCTCTAGCCAGCAAAGCTGGGAGCCTCAGCTGCTGCACAGGACCAGGCCCCATGCCTGGCCCTGGCATCCAGGAAGCCCCACCTTCTCAAAGGCTCCATCCTGTGGCGGCCTCCACCCTCAAGGCCCAGCAGTTTCAAAGCAGGTAACATGGCCTACCTGGTTCTCTGCCCAGGCACATCCCACCCTGGCTCAGAGATCAATCTTAAAAGCAGCTGTGGAAGGAGTGCTCCTGGGTCACTCAGGGACTGAGCGCAGAGTCTGCTGGCGCTGCTCTGCCCTCCTGTGCCCCGTGCTGGTGAACTGGCTCCGGCCAAGCTGAAGCCTTCCATCCCAGTTACTGAAACTAAGCTCTAGACTGGTCAGCTCCTGAGTTCCCACACTGCCACTGGAAGGGCCTGTGTCTCTGCCACCCCCTCCAGTGCCCTGCTGTGTGCACTGCCACCACCTCCACCTGCAGCAGGAAGGCCCTGAGCCCACCCCCCACCTGGGCAGACAAAAATGCTCTTCTGTCCTCCCCTCAGTCTCCAGCAGGACGAGCACGTTTCCTGTTGTGATCGCTCAGACTTGGGACCTTTCCTGGCACAGGCCCAGGACCTGCAGGACACTGAGGCTCTCTGGGTGAGGGTGCCTTCCTCTAGCACTTCCCCCCGGCACCCCGCCATGGAGCTCTGCACACCACACACTTGACTTCAAAACCGCTTCCGAGGGCCAGATGGTGACTCTGGCGAAGTGACCCCAGGACTCACCGGACCACCCTGGTGCCGTTCCGGAGCACCTGCATATCCACGGCGTAGGTCCCGTCAGCGTGGGCGACCAGGTTGAGCTCTGAAAATTCCGCCTGGAAAACAACGGCAGGGCATCAGACATTGTTATGTTTAGATTTTTTTAAACCACAAACAAGCAAATAAAGCGACTGTAGGGGAATAAGCCCACAGTCCCAATTTGGCCACGACCCCCCAACTGCAGTGGTGGCATCCCCCTCAACAAACATGTAGTTTGTGTTGTCACAGGCTGACCGCGCCTAATTCTCAGAACTCTGTTAGGCAGGAGGGACAGAGGTAATTATTCCCACGGACCAAGCAGAAAAGCGCTGCAGAGCAAGCCTACTGCTTGCAGAGACCAGGGCCAGCCCGGCCCCAGGGCGCAGCGCTGCATCCCACTAGCCATGCACTGACAGCGGAGTAAGACCGTGCTTTTCCTGCTTCACATTAAAGCACTTGGTTCTAATTTGGATGACTGAGTTTTTTCCCCGTTCTGTCCCCAAGGAGCTATATAGAACATTAAGCAAGATACTTGTCTCTCTCAGGAGAGGGGGACAGTTTCCTCTATAAAATGTTTATAAAATGGGAATGATTTGGTCGACCATGCCGAAGTAACAAGTTGCTTGAAGAGCTGTATGCGATACTGGTGAAGAGGACTCAAGTCACAGCACGCGGTGTACAGAGTGGGGCTTCTATCGTGACACACAGAACGCACGCACTGCCTAACTGGGACGGCCTCCTCGCCACCCAGACGGACCTAATCTCTACTTAGGAAGCAAAAGCCAGAGGGAAATTAAAGAGGGGAGAGGGCCTCTCAGGATGCCGCACTAGAGCCACATGGTGTTCTTCTGCAGGTTTCCTCTGAAGTGCAGCCTCGGGCCCTGAGGAGGACACACACCTGATGCCAGATGTGCCTGCCTAGGAGCACATTGGCACCTACAGCAGGGAGGTGTTGCCCGTGTCCTAGGAAGACATTCTTCTCAGCCTGGGAGAGCCCAAGGAGCCCTGTGGCTCACCTCTCTGCAGACACCAGAATCGGGAGAAGTCAAGGAAAGCTGCTACCTGCAGGCTCAGGTCCACACACTGGCTGGGACGTGGACACCATACTGCACAGAACTAGATGGTGCTCTCTGGGCCAGCAAGAGGGAACTGGGTTTCAGGCTGATTACCTGTTCCACTTTGATATCATAATCTCCAAGGACTTTTTTGCCACGGAAGCTCTTGGCCCTGAAGAAAAAACAAACCCACATGAATTAGTTTTGTGCCACTGTTGGAACTGAGAAATTCACTTGCACAAAGAAAAGGCTGACAGCAGCCAGAACCCCAAAAGGAGGGCCAAGATCCTCTCTCTGCTACCAGGTCACTGAGAGCCGAGTCAGTGGTCTCCACCTCCCTTGACAAAATAATCCAAAGCGCTTTCTCCACAGGTCTGGCGATTTCACAACGTCCCAAAGAAACATAGAAGCAGGAATGTCCTCACTGTTCACTCCTGTGAGGACAAAGCCAGCCCCACTCTTCTCCACAGCACCTTTCTCTTCCCCGTCCTGCTTTCACTCTGATTTTTTCTAGTTAGCTTCTACCCTTGGGATCTTTAGTTTTTAAAGAAGCTCTCATCGTTTTATCTTTTCATGCCCATACTTCCACAAAGGATCTGGGTCAATTAATAACTTAAAAAGCAAGCAGGACCTACAAAACAAGGATTAAAGGATGATGGATGAGCATTAACTCTGCCAGGAAAGTGGGGGGGGGGATAGGTGCTGAGAAAAAGTGACTACAATTGGACAAAAACCTGGCTGCATTTCTGAGCTGCCAAGAAAATGAGAGACCTCAAGAAACTCAAGAAAATGAGTTCATGCAGAACGCACATCCCCGCTGCTGGCACCGGGAGGACCCTGCATCAGTGCACCAGGGCTTGCCCACCCCAGGGAGTGCTCCGTCCTTATGCCGACACTTCTCTCTATTCCCACTCTGCCCTTAACCTCATACCCTCGTGTGATCTTCTTACCATGTAGGCTGATTCTCCATTTGTAAAAAGGCCCTTTCCAGACCAGACCTGTTAGGTAAGGCTGCCTGTCCAACACCTGAAACCTCAACTTAGCACACTTCACAGAGGTTTCTGAAAAGTCCCTCTCCAAAATGAAGGGCTGCCCCAACATTTACCAGGTGTCGTGATTCAGGACTTGTGTGTCAGGTGCTTTCAAGAACTTCTCACTTAGTCCTCATCACAACTTACAAGGCAGGGAGACATACGAGGGGAAGACACGGAGGAAAACAGTGGCAGTCAGGGCCACACAGCCAGGCCTCACACCAGGCCTGGGCCCCGGCCCCGGCCCCAGCGCCAGCAGGTGCAGGCTGCCTCCCTCTGCCGATTCACATCCCATCTCTGCTCCCCCTGGCAGAAAGTGACTTGCCACGTGCGTGGTGTTACCTGCTTGTTTTTTTCCTGCCCTTTTTTTTGGCCCCATTTCCCTTCTTCCGCTCTTAAGGAACTTGATGTTGTGAGCACTCATCCCACTACAATTACTTCCTACCCCGGTTCCTGAGAACTGCCCAGGATGAGGCCAGGCCATTTCCTTTCCTCTTGGGGTTCTGGAACAGTCTGTTCTAGGAAATTGTCATTTGGCCTATCCAAGTCCCTGGCCACCTTCAAGTCGTCCCAGAGGCACTCAGCCATCCTGGAGCTCCTCACTGAGTCCACCCCCACCTCCGCCCCACTTCCTCGCTGGCTCATCAGCTGGCTTCCAGCACCTTGCTCAGCATTCAGGGCTCAGCCAGCCCCTCAGCAAGGGGCCTGAGGCACAAGCCACCATGTGGCCACTGCCCCTCACATCTGGGTTTAAATACCAGTCCCACGAGGCACTGCCTCTGCTGCCGGGGCCTGGATACCGCAGGTCTACAGCCACAGTACAGAGGAGGTGGAGGGAAGGACCCTGAGTGCCCCTCTTCTGGTGGTGAGGGGTATCTACCCCAGCTTCTGATACTTCCTCCCATCTTCCTGTCTCAACATAGTTTCCCCTGAGGTGAATTGCTTTTTCAAAGCACATCCCCTGCCGTATTTGCTCGAACTATGTCAAACTGTTATCAGCAGATGGGGAAACTGAGGCCCGGAGTCACTGAATACTGGGCCAAATAACAGAAAGGTTCAGAGGCGTTACGCTTAGACATAAGAATGAAGAGTTTAGAACTGGTTGCCTACATGCTGCTGGGTTTTTATTAACTAAATCATTTGTTTTATGGGTTGAAAACACTGATCTTGAAACCTATTTATAAATTCCAGCTGGGTTTACCTGCCATTTCCTGTACCTGCCTATTGACCAAGTTGGCCAATGACAAGCGTTTTCAGGCCTCTCCCCACCCCCACCTCTTAAGTATCTTAATGCCTTTTCCATAAGGTAATTTGTCCTGTTGGAAATCTCAGTCTGTGTTTCCTGCTCGGGTCACTGACCCCTCTTGGCTGAGCCTCAATCTTATGGAAAAGGAGACAGGATGGCAAGCAGATGGACATTCTCAGGAGAATGAGCACATCCTCCCGGCTCCAGGCCCTGAGAAGTTTGGTTCCAGGTGTTTTCATGAAAAATGTTGTGACTTGTAAGCAAGCGGCAGAGGAGCCTCCCTGAGCGAGGAGAGCCCTGTGGGGAAGCAGCGTGTGGGAACTCAGAGCACGGGCCTGGAGGCGCGTCAGGCTCCGATCCAAGCTGAGCCCTGCTCTCTCCTGCCTGTGCCACTGAGGCAAGTGGCTTAAAGACCATCTCAGTGGTTGCTGTCAGCACAGACTGATGGCGCTCTTTCTTTCTAATACCCACACTAACTTCCACTTGAAGATCACACAAGTAACCTGTATTTAGTGGCCAACATTTATGTTTCCAGTTTTGAGGTTATTCCTCAACAGTGCAACAACGACTTACATTTAAGAATATATCCACAGGGTAAATATTTTCCCAGCTCTACTGAGGTAAGAGTTTGAATAAAATTTATAAAATTATGATCTATTTAATGATGATTTAATATACATGTGTATGCTTTGTGAAAATGGAGTACCATAGTCAGGTTTGTTAACACACCCATCACCTCACATAGTTACCTTTTGTGGGGGGAGTGAGGAGGGAAGAATGCTAAAGATCTATTTGCAAATATCAAGTCTACTTTACAGTATCACTAAAACAGTTACCATGTTGTACTTTAGAGGGATGAATAATTTATTGCAGAATTGCTGGTGGAAGTAATAAACACAGTTAAGTTTTTAACGAGTTGTCACACTGTTTGCCAGTCAAGGGGGAACAAATCCTATCACTCTTCCCAGTGATGGAAATTTGGGAAAGTTACTTCTCCCTTATTCCCTGGCTCATCCTCTCCGTCCCCTTGTAGACACTGGGCACACAGAAGGTGCTGAGAAGGGCTTCTCACTGGCAGACTTGTCAAATCAACCCAGTTCACCCCCTTGTGTTCAATCCCAAACAGAACCCAATGTGTACATCCTTGAAGCACAGACTAAAAATATCTATGGTGCCTGTGTTGTCAATTTCCCCCTATTGTAATATTGCTTAATAAGCCTAGCAGCTGAGGAGCATCTGAGCTTAATGGCTTCCAGCTTCCTTGATGGACTGGGCAATGAACCATCTCCCCTTATTGCTAAAATGAGTAGAGATTTCTGGATTTAACTCTTCTTCCTCAAGGCAATGAATATTCTTCTCAACTCCCAACCACCTGCCCCCTTAGGCTTTTGAGACTGAGTAGCAAGATTTCAGAAACTTTTCTGCTCATGCCGCCTCTAAACTTGACCCTACCTAGGCGGCCCTGCTACCTGCCCTCTGATTTATGCATGAGATTAAGGAGGAAGGTCTAGAAGTAAAAGCCAGAGAAGCTGAGTGCAGCTGCTTGCTTAGTTGTGTGGTTTTGAGCAAGTACCTGCCTTTCTGAGCCTAAGTGTCCTTGTGTACACAACAGGGCTAGTAACTATTTTAATAATAATAGCTAACATTCCTGTGCACTAACTAGTCTTCTAAATGTTCCATCTCATTGAATAATGCCTGACTCACAGGCTGTTGTGATGACCTAATGATACCAGATGAGATTAGTTGCTTTGAAATGCTTTTAAAGCCTTGAATACCACGCAGACAAAATATACTGTTAGAAAAATACCATGAACACAGATGCAACCCGGTGTGACTGCAGTTCTGCTGTTACCATGGCAACCCTGGCTTCTCATCTGCATATTTGTCATATGTGTTATCTGCTCATGACATCTGTCATAGCAGCTCATCTGGTATCATCACCCCAATTCACGTTCTCTGTGCTCTCCTGCTCCGACCTCACTAGCTCATGTATGATGCTTCAGAGCAAGGATCACCCCAGAGGAAAGCCCTGGGCTCTCCAGAACATCTTGAATTTTAAACATCGATTATGTCCTATTGTCAGACTACAGAGTCTATATCTCTAAGTTTCAACCTCCTTCACTGAGCTGTGTCCTTGGTAAGGTCACAGTCAGGGTCCACAGGTCAGGCTGCACCAACGTGGATAACCAGAGAAGGCCACCTAAGGACTGCATGTACTGTGTCTGGTGTACAGGCTGCCCATGTGTCTCCTCAAAAGTGCACATGCCAGGGTGTAGATTCTTCCCTCATTGCAGAGATCTTCCTCTTTCTCCCTCCATATGGAATGACAGGACAGACAAATCCAGACTTTCAATCCTCTCTAGATGACTGAGGCTTGAACAAGAGTCAAAAATCAAAATCTCCAGTTAGAAGATGAACGTGCTAACTGCGTTTGCAAGCTCCTGAAGGCATTTAGAGAACAGAGGATTTGCTTAGACCTTATCAGCATCTAGGAAATACTAGCACTGAGCCAGACACTATGTTTCTGGTTTCTGTTGCATCTTTTTTCTTTCTTTCAGCCAAGCACCTCAAGGTTTCAACAAGTGAGAAAATACACTAGAAAAAGTAGATAATTTCCATTTCCCAACCTACATACAAAGGGTAAAATCTGATCTGTGGGTCTTGGAGAAAGTTTGTGAGCTCCTGCTGCCACCCACTGGCAAGATGTGTTAGTACAGCCATGCTGTGGCTCCAGCTCACACCCACCACTTGGCCAGCTGAACCACTCAAGTTCACTGGCCAGGATATCCCACCAGGTGTTTGCAGCTCAGTAAACCATGCCCAAAAAGGAGTCGTTTTTTCCCTAAAAATTGTGCACCCATATATCCCAAGCCTGATGGTTGGCTTTTTGCGATT